ACACACACACACACACACACATTAAACAAAATCTTACCTTATTTTACAATGTAATTGTAAATAATTATATACAACATTTTATAAAACTGATGTTGCATGGGTTATTGTACAATAGCAAAAAAAATAAAATTATAAAACCGTAAAAATAACAGTTTTAGCATTTTATAATTCATTTATATGATATTTGTAAATTAAATCGGTTTATTATGGATAGACAGAGAAAAAAGTGTCTAGATCGGCAGCATTTAATATGATGGAAGCAAGTTGTGATGTGCTGTAGGTGTACACACTACTAGCAGGTTTACATGCACCTTAATTTGGACTAATTAATCTTTCATCTTCAATAATTAATCTTTTTAAAATGTCATGTAAACACTTCAGTGACACGCATGGACAGCAGATGAAATTTAGCTCTGTAGCTAATTCTGGGGCAGTCCTTGACTGTCCATTGCCCCTGTTAAATAAAGAAATAATAATTAAAAAATAGTGTTTAATTCTGTAGCCCACTGTAGCTTGATTAGAACTGCTCATGTAAATGTACTGATTATTATTCTCAATGCTTTATAACAGTGAAAAAGTTGTAATACAATGCAACAAATGCAACCATGACGTTTTACACAAAACGTTAATTGTCTATTTAAATAATAAATATTATATTTTACATATTTTAGTTTTTTTTGTTTTTGGCTTTTTCTTTGCTTGAGAATTGGGATAAAATGTTGAATTTTCATGAAGAAACTGCAAAATGCAAAAAATCTTTATGGTCCTGAAACAGGAATGTTGAATTCCTTTCTTTTGATGTTGCTTCCTATCTCACAGGATAAATGATGCCAATCTGTGTGGTCACATCTGCAGGGAAACAGGATTTCTCTGTTAGTTCTCCACCTCCTCTAGTCACAGTCGCTGTCTCTCTTCCTTTACCCCCCCGCTCTTTCAGCTATCTCTAGAGAATATGTGCTGACTGAGGCAGTTTGCAGCCCAAGTAACTGAACTGAAAGCAGCACAGAAATCACACAGGGAGGGGGGGAGGGTTACAGCGACTGAAGAAGACGAGGATAAAATGATGTGATCTGCAGTCGCCCTTAGATCATGCTGGCCAATCGAAATCAATCATAGAGATGGGATGAAAATTATCCTGGATGGTGACTGAAGTGACTGTGATGAATCCCTGACAGAAGGTGAGTGTTGTGAAGGAAAAGGAAATATATATTGAAAGAGTGAAATAGAAATGGCAAAAGACAGTATAAAGGATAGTCTGAGCGAAATCAAAAGATACAGAGACACTTAGATATAGGAAATGTAAAATGTAAGGATAATTCAGCCAAAAACAAGATATCTGTCATCATTTACTCACCCACATGTCATTCCAGTCCTATATGACTTTCTTTCTTCTGCAGAACACAAAAAAGGCTTTAGAACTTCTAAAAGGACGCAAAAGCATCATAGAAATATTTCATATGACTCGTACCCTTTATTCCAAGTCACCTGAAGTCATATGATAGCTCTTGTGTAAGAAACAGACCAAAAGTCATTATTTACTAAACACCTTGATTGCTGAATCATGGAACATTCATAAGAGTTAATTAAAGAAATAGCAATATCTGATTTGTGAATGGCTTCTGAGTCAGATCTTTTTAATGAATCTGTCGATCTGGTTCACAAGACTGGTGTGAGCTGGGTTTCCCAAAAGCAGTAGATCATACAAACTGTTGGCACCAATGGTCACTTTGATCTACTTAGGCGTTAAAATGCTTTTGGGAAACAAATCCCTGAATGATTCATTCATGACTGACTGACTCTCACTGACTCGATGCCACAGTGGTTAACAGCTCACTGGAGGGGGACATGATCAGTAAATAACATTGTAAATTTTGGTCTGTTTCTTACACAAAGCTGTCTTAAGACTTCAAAACACTTCACATAGTTGTATATGACCATCTTCTTTTTATCACCCAGTGATATGTTAAAAGTTAGATATAGTACATCCTACTTTGCTTGCGTACATTCAGTACACTCACATAAAGCAGTATATATTGTATAACAAATCTATTATTGCTTGTATCATTTCAAAATGTATACTATATTATCTAAATGCGACTATACACTCTAAAAAATGCTGGGTTAAATATAACCCAGCGCTGGGTTGAAAAGGGACAAACCCAGCTTTTGGGTTGTTTTGACCCAGCGATTGGGTTGTTTTGACTCAGCCCAACCGCTGGGTCAAAACAACCCAATAGCTGGGTTTGTCCCTTTTCAACCCAGCGCTGGGTTATATTTAACCCAGCATTTTTTTAGAGTGTAAGGCATGAAGATATGAGATATTATAAACATTAACATTATGATTTCTGTAAAGCTGCTTTGAAACACTATTGTGAAAACTGCTACATAAATGAATTTGACTTGACTTTTATGTTACATTTATACCTTTATTCAAATCTTAAGAGCCTAAACCATTGTGATTACATAGAAAAAGTACCTGTTGTAGCGAATCAGCTCATAAGGGAAATATGAATAATTAATCATAAGTTGGGGTTGCCATGGTAACCAGTGGCCTGTGGTCATTCGCAGACATCCTGGCGCCCAGTCTATTGGGTGAGGGGTCTGTGACGACTTGTTAATCTAATGAATAACCGATTTGTTAAATCAAATGAAAAATTGTGTTTTTGATTGGTCCAGACGCTACACTGTCAACTGGAAAAAACGTAAAAAGCTAGTAAATCGGATTTCGAATGACATGAGGCTGAGTAAATGATGACAGATATTTAATTTTTTTTGGTGGACTATCACTTTTAAGTCACAGTCAAGGAGGAAGGAAGTCAAAGTTAGAGGAATAAAGCTAAAACGTCCACAGAGATTTCGAAATGAAGAGGTACGCATTATGTGAACCAGGGCAACCTGAGACTGAAAGCGCAGAGGAAGACTTATTGTGATGAACATGAATCAAAAGATTTTACAGTCAGAATCATCACTACAGAGAGAAGAGAACAGAACGAAAGGAAAAAAGGCAGGCGGGAAGGCAAACTAGGGCAGATCTTGCACTTTTGGCACTGAGAATTGTGTGGGCATCAGTACCGTGCTCAGTATTATTGAGCAAATTAGTACGATTAATATGCCAGTGTCACAATGATGCAGATTCCCACGTTAGCAATATTTCTTCCAGTGTTTACTGTATGGATATTATTTTGAGAATCCTTGCAAAAAGAGAATTTTGACTGTAAAAAGGATTGTGCTAAAACTCAGAACTAGGCACTTTGAGATTCCAACTTTCACCTGCCGTACAATCATATGTCTGTCATTTTAATATTGAGATACAGTACTGTTCAAAAGCTTGGGGTCGGTAAGATTTTAATATTTTTGAAAGAAGTCTCTTATGCTTACCAATGCTGCATTTAAAGAAAAATGTCAAAATACAGTAAAAACAGTATTGTGAAATATTATTATAATATAAAATATAATTTATTCCTGTGATGGCAATAAATAATTAAATTGCCACATGATCTTCAGAAATCATTCTAATATGCTGATTTGGTGCTCAAGAAACATTTTTTTATTATCTATATTAAAAACAGTTATGCTGCTTAATACATTTTTTTTCAGGATTCTTTGATGAATTGAAGGTTCAGAAGAACAGCATTTATTTGAAATAGAAATCTTTTGTAACTGTGATCTATTTAAAGCATCCTTTTGATCAATTTAATGCGACCTTGCTGAAAAAAAAAGTATTAATTTCTTTCAAAAACAGTCTTACTGACCTCAAACATTCATCCTAAAGAAATAATTGTTTGACAGTATAAGACAGTGGGCTGTTCTGTTTTTAGTATGCAGTACAGGGCATGACTTTCAATCCTATTAGGCTTTTGGGAAACGAGTGCAGTTTGAAGCTTGTTGTCACACTGTGTTCTGTACTGATGCTGCAGCAATCGATACATCTAATTTTACACAAATCATTACAGACCTAACTAATCAATATATCTTCATATAGCCAAATGCTTTGTAATACACTGTCCTGCCGTACTGACGAAATGCACAATTGTCCTTAGAGGCCCAAAGGACACTTCTATTGATTTAGGTCATCTTTGACATGCTAATCCAGTGGAATGGGTTTGTGTGTGAATATGCTATACAAGTGGATCCTTGTTTTGTTTTTTTAGGGATATTGTTCCCAATGATCACGCTGATAGAGGCAGGGCATGTGCCGCTATCATTCTGTCATATGATCCCATACATGTGATATACCATTCTAATAAGAGTCAAGCCTTCCGGCATCCCTTCCAGCTACTGACTGTGAAATAAATTCAAATGTTTTCTAAAGAATTGCTTCTTTTGTTCATGGTGTTCCTCAGACGAATCAGCTAAATGAAGCTTGAAATTGAAATGATCCATTAACACAATTGTGTTGTCATGCAGTGAGAGAATGAAAGAGATTATGAGCGGTGCAAACTGTATGTGAGTGTGTGTGTGCTTTGTTCAGAATACAAGCATACTGCATACTACACAGTATATACAGACTATTGTTTAAAATAGTATATTACAGGCTCCTTTAAAAAAATATATATATATAGCAATAGCAATGTGCTACATTGTTGTCACATGGTCTCACTATGTTCCATGTATAAATATTTATATTTAATAAAGATGAAAATTAAGTAGTACTTAATACTTAATTCGGCAAGGATGCGTTACGTTGTTGTTCTTTTTAACTTTTATTAATCAAAGAATGCATTACAGTTTCGATAAAAATATTAAGCAGCCCAACTGTTTTCAACATTGATAATAAATGTTTCTTGAGCACCAAATCAGCATATTAGAATGATTTCGGAAAAATCATGTGACATTGAAGACTGGAGTAATGATGCTGAAAATTCTGCTTTGCCATCACAGGAATAAATTACACTTTTAAATATATCTAAACAGAAAACAATTGTAATAATATTTTACAATATTGCTGTTTTTACTGTACACTCTAAAAAATGCTGGGTTAAATACAACCCAGTGCTGGGTAAAATAGGGACAAACCCAGCAATTGGGTTGTTTTGACCCAGTGGTTGGGTTACTACCCAGAAAGTTGGGTTAAACATTTAACCACCGCTGGGTCAAAACAACCCAATTGCTGGGTTTGTCCCCATTTTGCCCAGCATTTTTTAGAGTGTAGTTTTGATCAAATAAATGCAGCAAAAGAGAAATACTAAAAAATCCCCCCAGACCCCAACCAAACTTCACACTTGAAATGGAAGGTCAAGTTGAGCGCATTGCATTGTGTTCTTATACTGCACAATTCGGCAAGTTAAGTAAGAAATCCTGAAATTTCAGGCATACTGTAAATTTGAATGTGGTCACGATAGACATACTACAGAAGGCGTACTGTGGTAGTATGCAATTCCGTACATAGCCTATGTGTTTGTGTACAATTTAGGGATCTACCATGTCCTCTGCCCCTTTCCAGGTATTCTCACAGTCCTTCACAGCATCCTTTGCAATCTACACAGTGGCCAGCGGGTAGGTAGAGATGGAGCTCCCTCTCTGCATGGCCTGCACTGGGCATGTGCACAACCAAAAACCTGACCAGATGTCCCTCAGCGTTTGTGCTTTTATCCAATGTTATCCATCAGGCATTGATTATTTAAAAGTATGGAAAGGTACTATTTGTTCTGGAGTTGACAGGTCTCTGCTGGATGAAATGTTTTTACACTAACCTGCAATTTATTGAATGCCCGACAGGGATTTGCTATGCTCTGTTTGTTGATAAAAGCCTGAGATTTTTTGCTTGTGGTTGTGACACAGCAGTGAAACGTAAACTAGTCTTGAAGCCCATTTGCTTGTTTTGGCAGAGTTCTCCGATTATTTAGCCTTAGCTGTGGTTTCATTGCATGACCAGACCCCTGCCTCTCTGTATACTTCACATTCATTTTGTATTAACTCTGCATCTGCATCGTGCTGTTTTTACTAACCCTTTCAGGCACTTTATAAATGACCCAGAACTTGATGAATTTGTACCATGTAGTGCTTCAAATGTGTGTGGAGTAATAGTTCAGTCTTGGTGTGTGTGTATTTTTGTGTACTTATCTTAGGGAGATTACAGACCTCACCCCATCAGAGGAGGATATATCTGTACTTCAGTATGCAGCATGGGGACCTCAAGGGAACCAGATGGTGAGGATGAACCCACCGTCAATCTCCGTCTATTTTACTATAGCGAGCCTCCTTAAAATGAACTTTTAGGCTGTGTTTGGAGTGGAATACTAGCTTACTGAATACTGCTCCGTATATACTGTGCATTTTAGCATCACTGATACTATTTAAGTTTTACATTTTTGAGTTAGTCTGTTTTTTTTAAAGTTGTTGTAATTTAGTTGTCTTTTTGTCATTTTTAGTATTTTTTTAAAACATGTCTATATAGTTTTTTTTTAATTAAGTTTTAGTTTATTTACATTTAGTAATTTTAGTACTTCAGAAAATGAGAAATTGTGGCAACTAGCTGATATAAAATATATAAAAAAGTTTTTCATTTTATATTTGTATGTTTTATTTTATTTCAAATAATGTTTTTTATTATAATTTTTATTTTTAAATGTATTTTTGATGTTTATAAAAGGTTATGTAATCTCTGGCAGTCTGATCAAATGATGAGTCAAGAAAAAAAAAAGGTTTTCATTTACTTTGGCAATATAGTATAACATTGTATTATAGGCCATAACATTAAAATAATTATGAAACTGTAATATTCTAGCTGTTAATGTGGACTCAGCCCTCATAATTTTTGAATATCCTTGTAATACTCTTGGAATACGGTTTGATCTGTCTGTATTAATGCTGGCTGTGTCTCTTTGTTGACTCCAGGCCTATGTCTTTGAGAATGACATCTACTACAAGCCAGATGTTTCCAGCAAAGCGATGCGTCTGACAGCCACGGGCAGAAACGGAATGGTGGTTAATGGGCTGTCTGATTGGACCTATGAGGGTCAGTGATATTGGACATGTCGTCCCCTTCGATACTCTCACTGCAGTCCATCACTTTAATGAGTCACCTTAATTCTATGGGTTTCTTTGAGACAATTTTGACAACCCCTTGAAGACATTGCAGTGTTCACAAAGAGATTATTATCACATTTGGCCTCATAAATACACAATGAGATAGTTAAATGAGATTTATGATAATCTGCGTAGGTATACGTATGGGTTAATTAGCCTCATCAAAATTTCATGTCTGTCTCACCTTATTAAAATTTAGAGGAGATACTGCTGAAATATCCTGCATTCTGGTGGGCCAAAGACGGCGCACGCCTGGCATATCTGTCTATTAACAACACAGCAACTCCTTTTATGGAGATACATCACTTCCTGGGTGGGATCTACCCTTCTAATGTCCTCTACCCCTATCCAAAGGTAAGAACAGTAGACATACAGCCAACTATTTTGTTTTACAAGATGAAAAAGCCTCAAAATGAATCCAATATCACAGTAAAAGTTTATATTGAATAATTAATGCAGATATATGCACTATTTACTGACTGCAAGAGCATTTATTCTTTGGTTTGATGATGTTAAATGTATTTGCTCTGTACAGGCGGGTTCCAGAATCCCATCAGCCAGTCTATTTGTGGTGAATTTATACGGTCCAGCACACACATTAGAGATGATTCCTCCAGACTCCCAGAACAGCAGGTGAAGTTTGTCTTTAATTATTGTGTGTCCACAAGTACGCATATGCAGTGCACAGGCTGTGGATATAGAGGTGTTAATTTTTAATATCCTTTTTAAAAAAGGTGAAATGTGTCTTAACTGACTATTGCATGTATTATTAAACAAAAACATTTATAATGTTAAAGCAATTGCAAATCATTTGTATTCATTTCACTGTCGCAGTGTTGGTCGTAGGCAACAAACACATTCAAGCAATTCTTCATGATATGCAAATAATTTATGACTCTAAAATCAAGTTTAGTCTCTAACAAATGTGAATGGTAACACTTTAGAATAGGGAACACTTATTCACTATGAACTATGACTTTTCTCTCAATAAATTCCTAATTTGCTGCTTATTAATAGTTAGTAAGGTAGTTGTTAGGTTTAGGTATTGGGTAGGATTAGGGATGTAGAATTAGGTCATGTAGAATAAGGCATTAATATGTGCTTAATTAGTACTAATAAATGGCTAATATTCTAGTAATATGCATGCTAATAAGCAACTAGTTAAGAAACCCTAAAATAAAAGTGTTACCGGCATTTTAAATGCATCATGCATTTGCAAACTGAAGAAAATGGGTTTGTTGGGCAACATCATGCAATGGATTATTGAGAGTGGTTTGATGTTACTCACTGAAGATTTTATTACATTTGCAATGAGGATTTTTTTTATGTTGTCCCCAACCCCCTCAGTTCTTTGTACAGTCCCATAGTCCTGTAGCAAAAAGTACAGCCTGCATCATCCCAGGTTTGTCGGTGTGAGCTTTCCGCATTTAGATTGTAGAATTATTGGCCATTCTTCAGCGCAAATATGTTTCTGCTCTACCAGATTAGATGGAGAATGCTGGTGGACAGCAATTTCAGGTCTTACTGCTGATTTTCAATTGGATTCAAGTCTGGGCTCAGGCTGTGCCGCTCCATAATACCAACCTTCTGTATTTAAGCCATTCTTTATTGTTTTTGCTGTGCTTTGAGTCTTTGTCATGCTGGAAAATTAATCTTCACTCCAAGCATAGCTTCCAGGCTGAATTTTGTCCTTTCCAGTTCCTCCTGGTGAAAAATCATCCCCAGAGCATGATTTTATTAAACGTTTTTTTTTCCAAGGTGAGTCCCTTGTGCTTAAAGTCTCATTTTGCTACAGAGATCTGGCCAGTCATGAAAAGGAGAATCAGACAATGACGATCACAGACTGCTGAGCATCTGAAGTCTTGTATCAAGTGAGATTGGACAAAATTTTTGCTTGCTAAACTTTTATGAATTAGTATCCTCAATTCCCAAACAAACTCCTAAACACTATAATTAAAAGGAAAGTTGATGTGTCCCAACTTTTTTGGAGTGTGTTGCAGCCATTAAAATCAAAATTTGTTTATATTTACAAAATGAAATTAAGTTGGCCAGTGAAAACATTGGATTTTTTTTCTTTGTACTTTAGTCAATTAAATAAAGGTTAAAGAGAATGAACAAATAACATATTCTTGATTTTATGGCATTTCACCAAACGTCCCAACTTTTCTGGAATTGGGGTTGTATAATAACCCTATATGGGAGTGTCTACATTCCTATTTAAATTTATATTTTCAAGATAGTATCTTAATAAATAATTTAAGTAGTGATTCTGAATGCACTGTACACTCTCTCCTTCTCTTTCTTTTTGTCTTCCTTACTCGTCTTTCTCTAGAGATAACTACATCTCTATGGTGAGCTGGATAAGCAGCACTTGTCTGACTGTGCGCTGGTTGAACCGGGTCCAGAACCAGTCTGTGCTGTGTGTGTGTGAGGCCACGACAGGAGCCTGCTCGGAGGTGAGGGGTTACCAGCTCATCCACTGCAGCCCACTGGGTATCTTTACCTGAAAAGTGTCCATCGATTCTGTTCTCATTTTGTATTCTGCTCAGAACATGCAGAGAATCTCTTACTTCTATTCTGCCGACTCAGCCTATAATTTCCTTCTGGAGGCGTGAAAGACTAACTCGGCTTTACTTTTAAGCCTCAGTTGTAATGTGTAGCTGGTCTTAACACCTAAAGGTCACTGCCTTTTTATGTATGTGCTAGTGAGCGATTGAATGCATGTGCACAGGAGTGTCTGCGTCTGACAGAGATGTGCAGTCCTTGTTTGATTTCTACACTCTGTGTGTTGACAAATCTGTCAACAGTGCTTTATAATTGGAGGCATTGGGAGCTGTGCTGAAATACACAACAGAGTGCAACTGTCGTGTTCTGAAAGTACAAATCCCATTCATTTTCTCCATCGAGAAATGGATTTTTAGCAATAATGTATAATGTATAAATAAAAATGTGCTCTAAGGTTGTTAAGCAATGATGGATGATTCTGTTGATGGCATAATTTTTTTATTAAGGGATTTCAGTTTAATTAAAAAAATTAGTCTCCACACAGATTACTTAATATTCAACTTTGTTACATATAATATTATATACAGAAATGTATATACTCTGCTGTTCAAAAGTACTTCAGAGTCACATGATCTTTCAGAAATCATTCTAATATGTTGATTTGGTGCTCAAGAAACATTTCTTATTATTATCAATGTTGAAACAGTTTCACTGTTTAATATTTTTGTGGAAACTCCTTTTTATATAGAATGTTTTTTTTTCTTTAAAGATTCATTTATGAATAGAAAGTTCAAAGGCATTTATTTGAAACAGAAATCTTTATAAATGCCATTACTGTCAATTTTGATCAATTTAATACGTACGCCCTTGCTGAATAAAATATGAATGAAAAAATGAATGTGAAAACAGTTCAGGAACTTTAGCCACTGTGGGCAGTCACTGTTACACTTATTTACTTAACAAGCAATGCACTTTAAACTTCTGGATGGTAAGACAAGCTGATAATTATTTCCATGTTCTGACCCATAACCAATATAATGGTTGATATTAAAATTATATATTATTTTGTCTTAATAATAAAAAATGAAGAAAATTTTTTTTTTTTAAATGCTACAAGCTACTTTAGGCATAACAAAATTATAATGTACAATATGAAAAATGGATATTTGATGGCAAAAGTAATCTAAATGTAAAAATAGAGGAAATATGTTGCTTATATCTTAAATAAAGTTCACTTAAGAGCAGCCTAATGGAACAGATGTGGAACTCTAGATTTTCCTGACAGCACATCTAAACTGCAGATAAAAATGAAACATGCACTTCCTTAATGTGATGCCAATGAGAATGACGGATAGATTGAAACTCGGCGTTAGCCGTGGAGTTATGATGTACAACTCTCCCTGGCAGGCAGAAGAGAACAAATGATTTAAACACATATTTTACTTATAATATATGACATGTCTAATCCTGTTAAAACGTCTTTAATCTTCAGAGGCACCAAATGGCGATGGACTTCTGGCACAACAACCAGCGGCAGGTAAGTTCAGCCTCTCGCTCTCTCTCTTTCACTCTCTCTCTTTCACTCTCTCAAGGGAGGCATGTAATCAGTTCTCAGGCTGCATTCCTCGGTTCCTAAAAGCTGCATCCACCTCGGACGGAAATGAATTGCATCAAAATGATGTCGTCTCTCGTTGATCTGTTAGAGGAAAGTATATTGATGGTGGCTTGTCCTACAGGAGGAGCCGTTGTTCACGGCAGATGGTTCTCTGTTTTACCTCATCCTGCCTGCCAAGCAAGGGGCCCGTGGGGAGTTTCTCCACATCGCCAGCCTCCCTGCTCAGGTCTGTGGGTAGAATAATTTCTTACTCGCGTTATGCACACTGAAATTAGATGCACTTATTAACTTCGTGATTAGAAACCTGAAGTACCCAGCGTATATGTGACTTTTTATGGATGTGTGGGGGCGATGTTGAACCCCTGTGTATTGTAAAGTGTTTCTCCCCATTGCATTGTGAAATCTTTCTCTTTATTGAAGTGTAAGACTTTTGATTTGGATAAATAGTTAGGTTTTCAGGTGCACTAGCTCTTAATTTAGATTTCTGTTTGCTTTATTCAAAGTCATTTACAAATGTATATAACGAGCTTGAAGTAACACGTGTCATGATCTGTTCTTATATTCCTAAATAACAGAGATAAAAAACTAATAATAAAATGCAACAAAAAATATAATACTACTACTACTACTACAACTAATATCAATAATATTATATATAATTTTTTTCATTATATTTTTTATAAATATTATATAAATATATTTATTATAACTTTTTTTATTTTCTTTAAATCAGGTATCGCACTCTGACACTTAAATCTAAGTTTCCTTATCTTTCTGTCCACTGCTTGCCATCATAACCCGCCTTCTCTTTAAATCTTATTTATATATATTACAGTATTTCTTCTTAATAATATTTGTTTTATTTCTTATTTTTATATAAATATTTTTAAATGCATTTATTATAACTTATATTTTCTTTAGATCGTGTTTTGCACTCTGACACTTCAATTTATTGTTTTCTTATCTTCCTGCCCAATGCTTTCCATTATAGCTTGCCTTCTCTAGTAAGCTTTATCTATCTCTTTCTCTTTCTTTTCCTTTAGACTTCCACTCCTTCTGTTTCTCCTCGCTTTCTAACATCAGGGAACTGGGATGTAACCTCACTGTGTGCCCTTGACGAGGAGAACGATAAAATGTATGACAGATCGAATTTTATGAGCAAACCATTTCAACTCGAAAGCCTCAAGACTGTGTCGTAAAGCATCCCATAGTCAACCGAACTACCTAATATGAGTAATTATTGAATTATTTACGCCTAGCGATCCCATTTAGCAAAGATGGCACTTAATTAAAATTAATACAGTAATTAAATTTTGAATTGGCTGTAACGACTCTGTCATTTTCTCTCCGTCTTTGTTCTCTAATTGCAACCGCATAAAACAAACCCTCTTGAAAAACCATCCCAGAAGTCATAGCTTTACAGAAAAAAATGTTTTTGTCATCTTTTCAATGCATGAATATTTATAAGTAGTCAGATCTATAGCTCAAATCAAAGTTTAGGCCCGCAAATCGATGACTTACAATTAATCTGGTACTGACAGAAATGAATGCATAGCACTGACTTCCCTACTTTGCATGTGTAACCGCTACAAACCTACTTAGTATGCAGCTGTACGAAGGTAGTATGTGGAGGTAGCCTCTATTATAAGAGGATAAATGACTGTCTACAAATAGTAACTCAAAAACCTTTTCAGATGTACTTAATGTGTCTTTCCCCTGTAGCTATTTTCTGAGTACGGAGGAGTCGCAGCAGAGCAGACACTTATACAGGTAGGTTCTGTCCCAATCCGATACGTCTTTTAAGCTGTAATTGAGTATTTTATCATCACTGTCTAGGAATTCTGTACCTCTCATGCTGTGCTGCGCATTTGCGTCTAAATCAGTCTGACAGCATTTGCATATCCTGTTGTGTTGTGAGATATTTCATTTTCTCAATATGTTCGTGGATTTTGGACGTCCATGTCCTCATTACATGTTGATATTCTGCATCCGCATTGACGTTCCAATTTCTGAGTATGTATGTTCATTGATGACTTGTGTTGTAATCAATTAAATCTTTCTACTCTACATCTGAGATGCATTTCGGGGACATTTGTGAAAAGCCAATAGACTTTTTTCCCCTCTAGTGAGCTCCAGGCAAGAAGCCCGGCTAATTCATTTAACAGGAACGGCAGCTTAGAGAGAGAGAGAGAGAGAGAGAGAGAGAACGCGAGAGGCAGAGAGAGAGAGAAGGTTGAAAAGGAGATGGGCAGAGGGGGAGGTGCTGCGCCTCACAGCGATTTAAAGGGTGTTCTCTAACCTTTGATTAATGCTTTAAGACTCTCACTTGCTCTCTGTGGGCCACAAGTTCTCATAGATTTTTTATTGCGACTATCCAAGCAATATGATGAAAGTGCAAAGGTCCAGCATTGGGCTTAACGCAAGTGGATAATGGAAAACAATCAGCATGTGTGTGTGTATAATGCACTGGAATTTATAGGGACAGTTCAGCCAGAAATGAACACTGTTGTACTATATTTAAATAAGTAAATTTTTATTCATCAAGGATGCATTAATTTAATCAAAATGACAGTAAAGACATTTATAATGTTAAACATTTTTTTTTCAAATAAATTCTTTTGAACATTATATTCATCAAAGAATCCTTCAAAAATGGATCACAGTTTCCACAGAAGTATTAAGCAGCACAACTGTTCGCAATGTTGATAATAAGAAGAAATGTTTCTTAAGCAGCAAATCAGCATATTAGAATGATTTCTGAAGGATCATGTGACACTGAAGACTGGAGTAATGATGCTGAAAATTCAGCTTTGCCATCACGGGTATAAATAGCATTTTGAAATATATTAAAATAGAAAACAGTTATTTTAAATGGTAATATTTGACACTATTATTGTTTATTTTTATTTTTTTGCTGTATTATTGATCAAATAAATGCAGTCTTGATGATCATATGAGACTTCTTACCAAACTTTTGAACGTTAGTGTAAATTCTGAAAACTCTTTCCCATGTCATTCTTTATGACTGACTGACTTCTACGAAATACAAAAAGAGACATTTCAGTGTTCACAATGCTTTTTTTATACAGTACAGTGGGCTGTCAAGAGCCAAAAAGTTTATTTTTAAGTTTAGCTGTTAAATCTCATTTTGACAGTCCTGATTACTATACGTAGCATGAACATTATTAAAAATGTTTTATTTTGGTTTCACAGAAGAAGGTCAGATAGGTTTGGAAAGACATGAGATTGACTAAATTATGTGTGTTTATTTTTGCATAAACTTTTACTTTAACTGTCAGAGTACTTTAAGTGTCAGAGTAGTTTGATTGTCGTCGATAGCATTAACATTGATGATGAATTGTGAAATAATGAAATGCATGCTTGTTGACTAGTGTGGAGCTCGGAGGAGTGTTTCATCGCCAGTGTCTGACAAGCAACCTGTTTGAGCGATGCAGTGTCTTCAAAGCAGACTTCAGCCCCAATCAGACATACTTTACCCTCTATTGCTTGGGTAAGATCACACCGTCTCTCATGCACAAATGTAAACACACTTAGGTAGATGAAAATAGATTGATGTTTCTCATCTCTGTTATACTTTTTCAGGCCCGGGTGTCCCAAAGGTGACTATTCACAGCACAAGTGACCCTTCCAGTGAGTAGAATTAATATTTTTCTCATAACAAGCCGTTTGTGGTTGTATAACAGAAAGAAAGATTTTAATTGCTAATACAATTGTGTCAAAAAACAAGAATTGTTTATGTATAAATGCACCTTAGTGAACATTGTTATAGTTTGCCGTATTAAGCATTTATGTCAAATATGACTGTTATTATTGTTCATACTTTGGATTATGGGATTGTTTGAATTCCTTGTCTGTGGAATTTGTCCTAGATGTTTGTACTGTAACTTTGTTCCTCAAAAAAAAACGGAAAAAAAAACCGCAAACTTATTCAGCACAGCTGTTTTCAACACTGACATTAAGAAATGTTTCCTTAGCAGCAAAACAGTATATTAGAATGATTTCTGAAGGATCATGTGACACTGAAGACTGGAGTAATGATGCTGAAAATTCAGCTTTGCATCACAGGAATAAATTACATTTCAAAATATATTCTTATAAAACAGAAAACGGTTCTTTTAAATTGAAATAATATTTCACAATATTGCTATTTTCTTTCAAATAAATGCAGCCTTGGTGAGCATAAGAGACTTCTGCAATTAAAAAAATCATACAGACACTAAACTTTTGATCTATAGTACTTGCATTGAAGGAGGGCTCTGAACCATATCTAAGGACTAGAATATCATAGAGAACCACCTATAAACTACCTAGAACACCTTAATGATCGCATAGAACCACCCAAGCAGCATTACTTCACTCACTTTAATTGCCAATATGATTCTGAGAAAAAAATTCATTATATTTTCGTATGAAAGCACCCCAGTAGGTATTTTTAGAGTTTGTTGTAGTGAGAGTGTTCTCTAAAACATCTAAAAGTCTTTCATGGCATCTTGTATTTTATTATCTGGATTCATTATTTCACAGTCTTAATATTTAAATACTCCAAGGTGGTGAACTGTTCTGGTTTTATGCCAAAAATGTATTAAGTTTGTGTGCTTTCCTTGCAGGATACACAGTGGTGGAAGACAACAGCCTCCTCGCTATGTCTCTTGAAACCAAGAGACTCTCTGAGACAGTTTTCCAGACACTTTCCTCTGACAACAGCGGTAAAAAGATTTCTTAAGTAACTGATTACATTCCTCCTTTCAGCATAAATTGATCTCAACCTTTTACAAAGCCAACTAGATTTAAGAATCAATCAGATAATTGTTTCGGTTTTGCTAATTGGATCCTCACAGCTGTACCATTAGTGATGCCTTTGGGGGAAGCCTATTGCAGCGTGTGTATTTTTGCTTATGTGACGTGTAAGGGGAGGTTTGCATGTGTATATAAATTGCACATGTACTGTACATCAGGTCCCCTGACTGTGTTTGTTTGTGCATGTGTGTGTGTATTACTGAGAGTTTGTTAAAAACCAGCAGGCTCATGGGAGCTCATTTGCCAGTGGTTAGAATATTGATGAGTCGTTACCCAGACTTCCTTGCAGTATGATACAGTAGAAACGGACGTTTGTTCTGTTTTAACTGCCTTTGCGAATAATTACAGACCTAGATCTAAAGATGTCCCTGCCTCCTGGGTACGGAGGAAACCTGCATCCTCTCCTTATTATCATGTAAGTGTCTCTCCACACTTCAGCAGTGCCTGTATGATACTGTTAATAAGGCAGCATTGTATTGTATGGAAGCCCTTTTTTTTGAAAAAAAAAATGAGTCAGGTAATTATGAGATAAAATGTGTCTAAAAAGTCATGTTATGTGAGACACTACAATTCAGCAGTTTGAGGTTGGTAAGATTTTTTTATGTTTTTGAAAGAAATCTCTTATGCTCATCAAGGCTGCATTTATTTGATCAATAAAACAGTAATATTCTAATTCTATTCTAATATGTTATTACAATTTAAAATAACTGTTTTCTATTTTAGTTAAGTTTTAGTTTTATATTTTTAAAATGTAATTTATTCCTTTGATGCAAAGCTGAATTTTCAGCATCATTACTTCAGTCTTCAGTGTCACATGATCCTTCAGAAATCATTCTAATCTGCTGATTTGCTGCTCAAGACACATTTATTATTATCCATGTTGGATACAGTAGTACTGCTTAATGTTTTTGTGGAAACATTTTACATCTTTTTACAGGATTCTTTGATGAATAGAAAGTTCAAAAGAACAGCATTTATTTGAAATAGAAATCTTTTGTCACGCTATAAATATCTTTGCTGTCACTTTTGATCAATTTAATGCATCCTTGCTGAGTGAAAATATGAATTTCTTTCAACAAAAAAAAATTTGAACCCAAAATTTTCAACTGTAGTGTGTAAAGTCGCATTGAGAGATATAAAAGTTGCAAATGTGTGGTTTAAATATGAATTATAAAGAAACAAATTTGAGAAATAAATTAGCAACAATTTCAAATTTTGACATTTGTGAGATACGAAGTCACAATTATGAGAAGTTGCTCAACTTGACCTTCCATTTCCAACATGATGGATGAACCATCATGATGGATCTCTTTTTTTGACTTATTATTTGATTAAACTTTCAAATTCTACACAAAATTGAAATAAAAAATGCCAAAAGATTTATTTTTAAAAAATGAAACCAAGATTTGCTGAATTAATACATGTGACAAGAATGTAGCATGCTACAGCTTGAAACATTCATGGTGAGCTAATGTCTACACTTTACTAGGCAGTATGTACTATGGTCAGTGTTGCATTAAGAAAACAAGATACGTGCCGAGTGTCCTGACAGTGACAAATCAGCTCTGATTCTCACACCAAACCAAAGCCCAAAACTTAAGCTTGCCTAAGACTTATTTCTTGCCTTGCAAGCGGCAGTATCTCCTTGTGGAAATGCAAATCTAGTTAGGACTCTTCTCGCCCTCGCCTTAGTTGGTTAGGCTACATGATTTATGAATGCTGCGTTATTAATAAGCAATTTGCACATGCTCGATTGAGATGCAAGAAGTGTTCAGCAATTGCGAACACATTTACAGAATGAAGATCAGTGTGCTGATGTCTTTTTAATCTACAATGTGACATTATATGTCAACACCTCAACCCATCCGTTCTCTGCACCCTTAGTGACAGTATTCCTGGGAGGCAGTCGGTAATGGAGGAGTTTGCCCTGGGCTGGCCAGAGGTTTTATCCAGCCTGCATGGTGTGGCGCTGGCCTGGATCGACAGCAGAAGCCGGGTCTCGCAGGGACAGAAAAGCAGCACCCTGGACCCTCGCAAGCTCAGTTCCCTCCGCATTAAAGATAAGCTTGGAGTCGTGGAGTGAGTCGTTCTCTCTTTTCAGTTATTAAGAGTAATACCTCTGTTAGTAAAGTAATTTTGCACATTACGCCACAAAATATCTGATTAGGAAATGCTTTATGCTCTAAAGCAGACGCTGGGTTTTCTTTCAAATTTCTTGCTCCAGGCAAAAAAGCAATGTTTAGGTCTCCGCAGAGTTAATATGTTGGCTGATTATAAAACACCAGCCATTTATCATAACTCCTAAATGCCACCTGAAATTCGCATGTTTTATTTCAGATGGTTAATGCAGTTGCCGTACATTGATGGGAGAAGAATTGCTGTTTATGGAAAGGTAAAATATATGTTCAAACTAAAACTTCTGATTGAATGAGTCACATTTGAATAAATAGCTGATTTATGCAAGTTGGAAACTGTAAACAGCCTACAGTTAGGCTAATGATCTATAGAGTGCAACTGTATCCGCCCACTTTTCCAAGGTGTTGGCTCTGGAAGAATTTTTTTCCGTAGGGATTTAAAAAAAGTATTCATTAAAACATTAAAAACCATGAACCAAACCAACCAGCTTCGAGGTGAATCAAAACATTACAAACTTTCATTTGAAGCAGAGGAGTATTTGAAAATTGGACAAAAAGACAAAAGTACAAACTATATATATATACAGTATATATACAAACCTTTAAGTATTTTGAGAGTGCGTCAAGACTGGTGTGATTATATCATTCAAGGTGATTTATGGGAGTAGGCATTCCCTGCCGAGCTCTTTTGGTGCAATTTGCTTGCCGCAACTCTGATTGGTGGAATTTTCCTCACAGCATCATGGGTAATGTAGTTTTTCACCAGTAAATTCACTGTTAAACACAATTCTTTAAAAAATATATAATATATAGTATATAATATAATAAATTGAAATAATGTGAACTGATGGATGTAACTAAAGCATATACCATTAAATAACAACCTCAGAACTCACAAGTCTATATTAAAATGTTTGTAAGTTATAGAGTTATTGAGTTATTGAGAAAATAATGGAATTTTTACTTTCAGGACCCAACTGTTGCACTCTATTTTATATATAGCACCTTAGCAATGTGTTAAAAAACACTCTGGGACCAGTTGCATAAACTGCTTAGCCTAGTCTTAAAAAGTTAGTCACCTAATTTTTTTCTTCTTCAAGACTGGTCATAACTTTTTAAAGTCAGTTATAAAAAGGGAGAATGGTCTAATCTGAACCCAAAATGTAAGTCTGATTACCTCTTGTGGCTAGCTACTTGATGGTCAAACTAGTTCTGAAGACACAGTCTTAACATAGTGGCTATGTTTATGCAACTGACCCCTGAACACCTTAGCAACTGCATAGTGACCCTAACATTCTAATACTGCAAGCTCCACCCATATTTACTTAAGAATAGAAAATGTGATGTAGTTGTAGTTACTATTATAAATGGAATTGTTTATTGAACATTGGTGTCTAAAAACCATTAGCCATTGCATTAAACTGATTTTTGCATTGCATCATTTCAAATAACACGACTTAAAAGTGGTCAAATGGATCTAATGCTCTGCCTCTTGTGGCCTATTGCTTTAATACACATCTTCTTAGCAAACAAATCCCTTTGTAGACTTGCATCATATTCTCACTTAGGATATTATGGTGACGCATTGCTGCCACACACATATTTTGTTCCCCCACTCAATTACATAACATAACATGTTAATATAACATGACATAATATCTCGTTTTTATGAGAAAAGATGTTGTTTTTTTCTCGTAATAATGAGATGTTTTCTCATTAAAATTACATCTTTTCTCATAAAAATTAGATGTTATGTCATTAATACGACATAATTATCTCGTTAAAACGGCATCTTTTCTCATAAAAACGAGATGTTATGTCGTAAAAACGATATAATTATCTTGTTAAAACGACCTAATTTCTCGTTAAAACGACATATTTTTTCATGTAATGACATATTATGTCATAAAAACTATATGTTTTCCCGTTATTATAGATATATGGTATATGTGAGCGAGCTAAGCGACTGTCCGCGCTGCTGTCGCCACAGTCTGACATAAACGAGGATCTGCACGCTGCTGAAATTATTGAAATACACTGTTTTAAATGTATTTTAATGTAATGGTTTTAATTGTAGCGGCATGTTTATTAGGATTAATCTCCAATCTGTCTACAATATAGTGCTATCCAATAACTGCACTCAGACCCATGACTCGTTTAGGCTATGATCAGATCAAAACAGTTATTTATTTAATATTAAACACTTAATATTTCTTTATTTGAATGACTGAAGTTTGATTTAACAAATTGAAATATGAAATATAAAGAAATAAAGAGATTTAGTAATAGGCTAATAATAATAATAATAATAGACTAATAATAATAATAATAATAATTATTATTATTATTATTATTATTTCGTTCTGTTTGAAAACTGGCAAACGAAAATTAAGCTAGATTTTTCGTAGGCCTATTTCTGTTCGTGGGTAAACAAATGAGCTTATGCTTTAATATTTGTTTCACATGCGTGGGCAGCTTTGATACTTTAGTCTGATTATATATTAATTATGTATTAGTGATTATATATTATTAAATGATATCTTTAGCTGAATCAAGCCGCGCATAGCACCGCGCATCGCGTTCTTCTTATGGCTAAAATTCCAGGCTTTGCTTTATACTGAAGGAATAGGCTG